ATTTGTCACCAGCTGCTCTGCTTCTCTTCATCTCCATTATCATCTTCAGCATGATCCCTCAATGGTTACCCTCTGGGCATATCAACCCTCTTTTAGGTTCCTTTTATGTGTTGTCTTCCTCCATTAGACTGTAAGCTTCTTTAGAGCAGGGACTACATTTTTGCCTTTCTTTGTATCCCTACTGCTAAGCACAGTGCCTGGCACACAGTAGGCACCTAATAAATGTTTATTGACTATTTTTGACTAAATGCAGCCAATAGTATGTCAACAAAGAAGCACTGAACAAAAGGCAGATTTGTTTGTGGAATTGCCAGGCATGCAGGATAGCTAGTACAAAGACATGAAGATGGGAGATGGAGTGTTGTGTGTGGAATAGTGAGTGGGTCACTGGTGTCTGGATCGTAGAGATTGAGGAACTAGCTAATATATAAGAAGACTGGAAAAGTAGGAAAGGGCCAGGTTGTGAGAGGATTTAAATGTCAAACAGAGTTTTTTATACTTAATCTCAGAGGCACTAGGAACCAGTAGAGTTTGTTGGGAAGGGCCATAACATGGTCAGATTCTGCTGTAGAAAGATCACTTGGAGAGCTGTGTGGAAGATGGATTGAAGTAAATAGAAGCTTGAGGCAAGAAGATTAAATAGGAGACCATTACAGTAGTCCAAGTGAGAAGTTATAAGAACCAGGAGGTGGCTGTATGAGTGGAGAGGTGGGGATAGAAGTGAGAGATACTGTGAAGGTAAACATGACAAGACAATTGGAAATTGATTGGATATGAGGGGTTAGTGGGAGTGAAGAGTTAGGATGACACCTGGGTTGCAAAGCTGGGTGACTAGAAGGATGGTGAGAGTAATAAAGAAATTCAGAAGACAGGTAAGTGAGGGGAGGGGATAGAGGATAATAAATTCTTTTTTGAACACATTGAGTTTGAGATAATTATGGGACACCCAGTTAGAAATGTCCAAAAGTGAGTTTATAATGTGGGAATAGATATGAGGAAATTAAAGATGAACATACATATAAAACTCATTGAGAAAGGACAGAGAGTGTTTTGGAGCTTGGTAAATAATAGCCAGCAGTGGGGATTAAAGAGTAAGCCAGTGAGTCAGGGGGTATGAGAAGAGGTACCATCAGTATATTGAAAATGAAAACCTGGGATGTCATGTCATCAGGGAAGAGCTAAGTCCTGGTGAGAGCCAGAAGATGGAAGGAGCATGACAGGAATAGGTCTAAAATAAAGAGAAGTTTTGTAATTGTAGAAGTGGGCATTCTACAGGGCATAGTGGAAGGGGTGGGCTGATGGAGTGGGACACTGCAGGAACAGATCAGATCAGGAGTGTTGAGCTGCTAGGGATAAGAAAGCAGACAGCTAGGGTTGGGGAAGAGGCATCAGTAGACTGGTGTTCAGGATCATCGGGATGGGGAGAGTAAGAAAGGGTGAGTTTGCTAACTCTTGGAAAACATGTACAGGCAGAGTATCAATAGGTGGGAAGAGCTCCTCTGATGAAGGCAAGCGAGTAGCACATCCTCTTTGGGTCACAGATCAGAGAATTACTACAATTGCCCAGATGTAACATCTATAAAATCTTTACCACAACATTCCTAATAGATATTGCCATCAGAAATATGCATATCTTCAAGTTACCTGCAATTGTGGTAATACTCTGGTTTGTTAATTATAAAAGCATCCATCTATGTCTGAAAAATAGTAAACTATGTTTGAAGCATATTATTTATTTATGCTACATAGATTCCCTTGTAATAACTCTGACCAGAACTCCTCCTGTGAAAGACTGGGAATCCACCGACCATAGGAGGAGCTCAAGATCACAGGTAGAGATCTAGAAGGTACCTTAGAGGTCATCTAGTCCACATTATTTTCCATGTAGAAACTGAGGCCCAGAGATGGTTCTACCTAAGTCATGCAGAGAATAAAACTAGCATGCCTGGTATTTGACCTCAGGTCCTCTGCTGCCAAGTCAGCCCTTTTGACTACTCCTGTGCTGCCCTACTAGCTCCACCATTTTGAACAGATCCTCAAGGGATACATGGACAAGAATTCCACAGGATTAGAAGGTGTAGATGGCTGTCATCTGTACTAGCAGAGGAAATGCCAATGAAATGGAGGTCACAAATCCTCCAGAGTAGCTGTAGAACATCTAATTAAGTAAGACAGATGGACAAAAGCCATATGAGAGAGGATGAGAAAGGAGGAGGGTAAGGAAAGCAAGGAAGAGAAACGTGTGTGTGTTAAAATTTGAATAAATGCACAGGGAAGGCTTCCAGTGGACTGAGGCTTCCTCCTGTAGGACAGCACCCCTAGATGACCCATTGTAGTTATGACCTTGGAAGGGGGGCGGAGCTCAGAGGAGGGAAACTACTAGCTGTGTGACCTTGGACAAATCACTGGACCTCTCTTTGCTCAGTGACCTCCAAGGCCCCTTCTGGCTCTTAATCTATGATCCTGTGATTCATCATGCTTAGCCTCAGTTTCCTTATTGCCAAGGAGGAAGGAGAATAGTACCTTCCTTAGTGGAGAGAGCAGCATAAGAAGACTAATTCCAGCTCTGACACTTAATGGCAACCTGAGCTTGGGCAAGATACTTCTTTTTTCCCCTGACTAAGTGCAGTGCTTTTCTTGTCTTGTCTTTTCTTTTTTTAAAATAATTCATTTATTTATTTTTAGTTTTCAACATTTCACTTCCATAAGATTTTGAGTTTTACATTTTCTCCCCTTCCCTCTCCTCCCCCAACCCAAGACAGTGTGCAATCTGATATAGTCTCTACTTATACATTCATATTAAATATATTTTCCCATTAGTCATGATGTAAAGAACAATTAGAACTAATGGGAGGAACCACAAGAATGAAGCAATAAAACAAAACAACAAAGAAAAGGAAAGCAAATTGCATTTTTCCGTCTGCATTCAGACTCCAATTCTTTCTCTGGATGCGGATAGTATTTTTCATCGTGAGTCTTTTGGAGTTGTCTTAGATCCTTCCATTGCTGAGAACAGCCAGGTCTATCAAAGTCAGTCATCGTACAGTGTGGCTGTTACTGTGTACAATGTAAAGGGCAAGACACTTCTTGCCTCTGCCTCTCAACCTCCTCATTGTAAGGTAAAGTTAGATATTCTTTCTTTCATTAGCAGTGAGAGCACTGGACTGAGATTCAGAAGAGTGAAGTTCAGTTTCAGGCGCTGATGTACATATATATATATATATGTAAACTATATGACCTGGGGCTTCATAGGCTCATAGACTGGAAGGCACCCCAGGGACCATCTTCTTCCTCCCCTCCCCTCGTTTTACATGTGAAGAAACTAAGTTTCAGGGAATGAATGAATGAAAAGGTATTTATAAAGCATTAATTATATACTATACTAACAGCTGGGAGTACAAATATAAAAAGTAAAATAACCCCTGCAACTCAAGAAGTTTATATTCTTTATTGTCCCAATTTTTATTTAAAGTTTTGAGTTCCAAATTCTGTTCTTCTTTCCCCTCCCCTCTCCCTGAGATTGTAAGTAATCAATATGTGCAATTATGTAAGACGTTTCCATATTAGTCATTTTGTACAAGAAGATTCAAGTAAAATAAAAAGAATGAAAGAAAGAAAGAAAGTGAAAAATAGCATGCTTCGGTCTGTATTCAGTCAATATCGGTTCTTTCTCTGGAGGCAGATAGTATGCTTCATCATTAGTTCTTTGATATTGTCTTGGATCATTATATTGCTGAGAATAGTTAAGTCATTCACAGTTCTTTATCAAACGATATTACTGTTACTGCATATAATGTTCTTCTGGTTCTGTTCACTTCACTTTGCATCAGTTCATGTAAGTTTTTCCAGGTTTTTCTGAAATCATCCTGCTTGTTATTTCTTATAGCACAATGACATTCCATCACAGTCACATACCACAGCTTGTTTAGTCATTCCCCTATTGATGGGCATCCCTTCGATTTCCAATTCTTTTTTTTTTTTGGTGAGGCAATGGGGGTTAAATGACTTGCCCAGGGTCACACAGCTATTAAGTTTCAAGTGTCTGAGGCCAGATTTGAACTCAGGTCCTCCTGACTTCAAGGCCAGAGTTCTATCCACTGTGCTACCTAGCTGCCCCTCAATTTCCAATTCTTAGACACCACAAAAAGAACTGCTATAAATATTTTTGTACAAATAGGTCCTTTTCCTTTTTTTTTTTTTGGATGTCTTTGGAATATATTCCTAGAAGTGGTATTGCTGAATCAAAGAGCATGCACAGTTTTATATTTCTTAGGGTATAGTTCTAAATTGGTTTCCAGAATGGTTGCATCAGTTCACAAGTCTACCAGCAGTGCATTAGTGTCCTAGTTTCCCCACACCCCTCCAATATGCAACATGTTCCTTTTTGCTCATATTAGCCAATCTGATAGATGTGAAGTTGTACCTCAGAATTGTTTTAATTTGTATTTTTCTGATCAATAGTGATTTAGAGCAAGGAACTTTACATTCTAGCAGGGAAATACAACACATATAGGGGAGTAGGAGCTGGTGTTTTGGTCTTGGAAGTGACAGAGATGGAAAGTGGAGTCATAAAGTGCTTGACATAAGGTGCATAGCCTTTCCAGGAATGGCAGTGTTGACCCGCTTATTTATCCCCAGAGCAAGAGGTATAAAGTAGAGTGGATGGGAGAGTATATATGAATCTCCATGGCAGGAAGATGGTTAAAGTTCAGGATGGTGGGTCTGTGGCTATTTGGACCAGGTATCACAGTCAAGAGTGGAGGGCCCCAGGACAAGAGCTGGTGTGTCCCTTGTGAGGCAGGAAGATGGCCAGAGTGTCAGCGGTCAAATTTGAACTTAGCTTCCCTTGGTCTTAGTTTTCTCATAAATAGGAGTATGTAAGTGTATTCGTACTCCCTCCCAGGGCTTTTGTGAGATGGGTTTTGTAGCTGTAAATCCATATATAATGTGAACTTTTAGTATTCTTTTGGAAGCTGATCCATATTTTATCTCTTTTCCAGCGTTCAGCATCCGTCAGTGTAATGGGCTTCTCCAACACGCTGGAAATGGAACTGTCATCCTCAAGAACAGGGAGGACAGTGGAGCCCCAGATCCAGAGTGTGACCAGCCTGACACCTAGCTCCTGCTCCCACAGCATGGGCCCTGCCTCCGACACACAGCCAGAAACAGCGCCCAGTTATAGTCCAGCAGTCACCTGGGTCCTGCACCCTGGGGATGGGGCCAGCCACTTGTCTTTGGGAGATGTTCTCTTGGGTAATGCACCATGCAAGGTGAGTCTCTGATGTGGTCATGGGAATGGAGATACCATAGAAATGCTCTGCCTCAGTTTCCCCATTTGTTAGGTTTAGAGATTGGACTGGTTGAGAACCATTCTGATTCTGTCATTCCGTGGCTACATAACTCTGATTCTGTCTCTGCTGCCATGCTGATCATCTCTCAGGATTTGTTCTAGCCCCAGGCTTAATGGTGCAAGGCCTACTAATGATACCATTTTCATTCTCTTTCTATCTTTCCTTTTTTTCAAGATGGAAAATGAAGATTCCAGGCCCATTAGTGACTCTCTGGGACACAACACAGTAGCTGCCTGCCCAAATGCTCATGAAGAGTTAGTTCTTCCTTTACAAAAAATCCTGGAAGAACCGATTAATCTTTCAGTGAAGAAACACCTGCATCTTGCCTCTCCCCCAGTGCCAGCTGTCTGTGCCTCTCCCATCCCATCCACAGCTGTGAAGCCTCTTTGGCACACAGAAGGTACAAGAGGAGGCCCCTTCCTGGGGGCTTCAGTCCCCTTCAGACTGCTATGGGGCAGGCTTTCTCCTCCCTGTTGGCTCATAATGTTGCTGAGTCCTTTAGGAAAACACATCAGAGGGCTAAGATCAGCAGAGGTTTTAGATGATGACCATTCATATTTCTGTAATTACTTATGGATCCAAAGCCTTTACATGTCTTGTTTCACTCAATACTTGTAAACAAGCCTGTGAAATGGGAATATCCACATTCTGCAGAGGAGAAAACTAAGGCTTAGACAGGGCAAGGTTTGCTTGAAATCACATAACTAGTAGCAACAGAGCTGGGCAAGAGCCCAGGTACCCAGTGTTCTTACTGTGATGCCCTTCTGTTTCTCCAGAGAGCAGGAGCCAAGTTACTGCTGCATTAAAATGTGTGGAGAGACCTAAGTCTGGTTCCAGTGGAACCCTGAATAGAGGCTACAGTGGGTAGAAAAAACCTTGGTCAGTTTCCTTATTATCACCCTTCTGCTACCATTACAAATGAAGAGATGAATTATCCAGTCTGTATTGAGAAGAATGTTTTCACCCTAATTAGACTAATTTCAGGCCTTCCATCTAGGCTTGTTGTCACAGTACCCTCCACAGTGAGCTCTGACCCCCTGCTGGGTTTAATTAGGATGTGGCTGGTCTTTCTTAGGAGAGGTGGGAGACCCACTGAATGTATAACACCCAGTCCAAGGAGGCTCCTTCCAGGCCCTTCCCAGGAGAGTACATCTGGATATTTCAGCCCTTCCAGCCTTTAAGCACACAGCAGTCCACCTGTTCTCTGGTTACTAGTGGGCCCTGAACTATGTTGTGTGGTTCTGAAGTCATCTTGGCGTATTTTTAGCCTTCCCTTACCTTCTTTAGGGGACACTGTGAAGGGGAGAGATGTCTTTTAGGGGCCATGAGCTCCAGGAGATAGGTATGCAGTAGCCACGTGGTCAGGTTATTACAGACTCCTTCTCTGTCCTAGATTGTGGCAATTCTGAACAGGAACTGTTTGAGGCAGACACCAAGGAGAATCCAAACATCAGGTAACAAATAGTCCCTCCTCTAAGTACGGGAAGGAAAGGTCACTTGTGAGTTTCTTTAAGAGAAAAGAAGTTTGCCCTTTTGCTGCTGATCCCAAATGACTTACATAATGATGCAGCTATCAGACGTCTGACACCCCCCTCCCCCACCACAATTCCCCATCAATCTCTGCCTCAGAAGACACAGAGGCTCTCTTTATGGCTTTGGCATTTTCAATAATTTTTAGAACTGCAAAGTTCAGTGCTGATGATGCTAAAAAGACCTTCTTATGTGAAGATTTCTGGCTCCTTAGCCAGACAAAAATGGGCAGAGGCCATAGGTAGCTCATGAGGAAGCCCCCTGTTGCAGCAGGTGCTCTCCTTCCAGTTTTATTATTCAAAGAACTAATGTCAAAGTGACATTGTTTAACCCTATGAGAGCCGAATTGGATTCTGAGATCCCTTGAGGCTGGCAGGATCAGGTTAGGGGCAGGAGGAGGTTGGGAACCCTTAAATTTTTAGTGCTTTTTTATCACTTCAGAGAACTGGGAGAACTTGGCTGTGTTCAACAGCCCAAGGAATTGATCAAAACCCCTGTCTCTGGAGCTCAGGCCAGTTGTGTGGAAGTCTGGCACAGCCTAGCCCTGTCTGTCTTTGAGGCAGAGAGGTAGCGAGAGGAGGACTCACAGGGACTGGGAAGTTCTGGAGGCTCTTATCCCACGCTCATAGTATTTCATTGACTTTAGGACCTACCCCAAAGAGCGGAAGATTCCCTATGTTCGTCTGGAGCGCCTGAAGATCTGTGCAGCTGCCTCCGGGGAGCTGCCTGTGTTTAAACTGCAGAGGGAGCAGGATGGCACCTTCCTTCTGGTTGTTGAGTGTGGGGCTGAGTCGTCTAGCATGTCCATCAAGGTACCCCCAAGCCAGAGCTGTTGCTGTCCAGAGACCTTGGCAGGACATGAATGGAAGGAGAGCTCAAAACCATTCATTGTGGAGCCTGACATATCCTCATGTCCTCATAGAGGCTACATTCCATCCCTTTGAGTTACACCACCATTAGGGGTGTGTTCCTTTGGCCTGAGCAGTGCCCTTGCCTTGGAGCTTTTAAAAACATCTCAATGCTCCAATGAGGGGTGATATATTAGGGTCTGGCACCTACGGCAGTCAGTCAGCTTGAATTTATTTAGCACCAGTGTGGGATCATCAGACTTGGGCTTGGACATTAAGGGAGGGATGCAGAAAGAACCCCTCAATGACTCTGTTAGCTGCCCCTTGCCTTGTGACATCACTTTACTTTGGCCATCCTATCCAGGGCCCAGCCAACTCATGGCATCTTCTGGGTTCTTACTGCCACCATTTCCCATAATTTTCCTTCTACACAGAGTTTCTGTACTAGGAAGACAGTAGGATTTCCTTTCCTCTTGTCTTCCCTTCTTCTGCTCTCCATTAATAGCGTATCTGGCACTTCAGTTTTAAAAAGGGGATTTTCTACTATGCAGTTCTTAAGGAAGAGCCCAAGGGGGTTTTATAGGTAACAAGTTTTTAAGGCTTAATTCTGTTTTTATGCATGAACAATTCAATCTAGTCCAATTCAATTCATTTCTATTCAGTTCAATGTTCTGCATTCACTCCAAGTTTTCACTTTCACCTCTTGGAATCCTCAGCTTCTTTCAAGGCCCAGTTCAGGCCGTACCTCCTCCATGGGGCCTTTCTCGATTCCTCCCCCCTCCTCAACTGCTAGTGCCTTCCCATTCCAGATTATCTTGTCCTTTCTTTGTAATAATTGTATATACTTATGCGTGTACATGTTGTGTCGAGCTCCTAGGTTTCAATTTTTTCTTTGTGTCCCTCATGCCCAGCACATGGTAGTCACTTAATAATTGCTTATTGATTGATTGATTGGTTAAAAAACTTATTAAACAAAATGATAGACAGAAATGAAACATTCATTGTAGTTGAGAAGGGGGAGGTACAGGAAGGAGATAGAACATGTACAAAAATCAGGAAACACAAAGAATATACAAAGTACAAAGTAATTTCAAGTGGGACCAAGTGCCGATTACTGAAGGAAACTCTGGAGTTAGTGCAGGTGATGAAGAAGTGCATTCTAGGGATGAGAGACTGACCATGGTGCAAAGACACAAATATAGGAAGAGATGAACTGCTGTTTGGGGGAAAGCTTGTAAGCCAGTTTGGCTGGAATGGAGAATGTACAATAGGGATACCTAGGAAACAAGCCAGATTGTGTAGGGCCTTACATGCCAGGTCAAGGAGTTTGTATTTTATTAGGGGTCTTATTACCATTGAGGATTTTCAAGTAGGGGGGCTGGCATGGTCAGATCTGTAGTTTAGTACTACCAGTTTGGCAACTGTTGAGAAGAGAATTGAAGAAAGGAAAGACTAGAGACAGGGAGAGCAATTCAGAGGTTATTGTCATAGTCCATGCAAGAGATGATACAGTCTTGAGCTAGAGTGCAGCCCATTTTGGTGGAGAGAAGTGAATGGGTGCAAGAGATGTTGTGGAGATAGGACTGACAAGACTTAGCAACTGACTGAAAAGGGAGGTTGAGAGAAAGTTAAGTAACTCCAATGTTGTGTGAACTTGATTGGCTGGAAGAAAGATGGCATCATCAACACAAATAGGAAACTTTGGAAGAAGGACGAGTTTGGGTAGTAAGGCATGAGTTCCATTTTAGACATGTTAAATTGGAAATGCCTGTGGGACATCCAGGTGGTGATATCCACTGGGCAGAGCATAATTTGGTACTTGAGTTTAGGAGAGAAATTAGAGCTGGAAATAATCTGTAGAAAGAGTAATTGAACCCAAGAGAACTGATGAAAACACCAAAGGAGAGAGTGCGAAAAGAGAAGAAAAGAGAGTTCAGGATGAGGCTTGTAGAACACTCACACTTAGTGAGTGGGAAGAGGACATCAGTGTAGGTAGAGGTCTGAGAAGAGCTGAGTATAGGGGCTAAGGTCCCCTCTTTTCTTCTTCCCGAATATCTCCTGCCAGGTTTTTGTTGTTGTTTAGTCATTTAAGTCGTGTTCTACTCCTTGTGACCCCATTTGGGGTTTTCTTGGCAAAGATACTGAAGTGGTTTGCTATTTCCTTCTCCAGCTCATTTTACAAATGAGGAAACTGAGGCAGGGTGAAGTGACTTGCCCAGTTAGATCCCTGGTATTGATCTAGTTATTTTGCTGGTTACCAAGGCTATCTTGGTCTCATTCTTCCTGAATCTTCTTTCCCAGCCTTCTATTACAAGAGTCAACACCTAAAGCCTAGGACTAGCACCTCTTTGAAGTTAGTCTAGTTCAGTTATTGACTGGAGGTCTCACCCAAGATTGATGACTGTGGAACTAGAGAGAATATTCCTCCCCTCCCATTCCCCTGGTCCCTTATCTGGAGATCTTTAGCTCTGGTGACCTGGAAGCCACCATTTCACCTCTTCTGGCCTTTTCCCTGGCTGGTCTATCTGAAGCAAGTGTCATTCTTGGTCATTTTTTCTGACTAGTCCTGGATGATCAGATTGCTTCTTCTATCTCAGCCGTGGGTCCTGTGGCCTGGGTACACATCTGGTAGGCCTCTATGAGGTTTCTTTTCATGAGCTTGGCTCTTTCCATCCCAGTCTAGACTTCTTTATCGTTCAAAACTGTGCCCTGCCTTCCATTTACTATCAGGGCTGAGCTGGGGGATATGCCCTCAGCACACTGGAGAGAAGGTACTTGTCCTTGCATGTGGATCCTCAGTGCCATCTTTGCTTTTCTGCCTGGCCTGTGGTGTTTGCAGCATGTCACAGGTTGGGCAAGGAGAAAAGAAAGGTTAATATGTCAGACTTGGAAAGGACCTCAGAAATCATTTAGTTCACCCACTATCCGAAGTTTGACTTCCACATACTGTATTCCCAGTGATTGGGCTTTCAGCCTTCCCTTGAAGGAGCACCAAGAATATTGGCTAGTCAAAAATCCTAGATTTAAATTCTGATTCTGCTGCTTGCTGCCTATGTGGCTTTAGGTAAATTACTTCTCTGGTCCATGCTATCCTTCTCTAGAAAATAAGGGGCTTGGACTAAATGACCTCTAAGCCCTCTATTGACATCATTCAATCCCATGAACCTCTAGTGAAAGGGAGCTCATAACCCCAAAGACAGCCCGTTCCATTTTTTAATGCCTCTAATATATTTTTTTCCAATTCTAGGTTCCAAAGATAATATACTTTTGGCATTATTAGAAAAAAAAATCCTTAAATATGCATGACCCTACCACAATGTCAACACATTCTCACCATCTCACTGCTTCCTCTTCTCCTCCCTACTCCCAAACTAGTTATCAGGGAAGGCCCTTTCATCACAGATCTTTTACCTCTGAAAGGAAGGACCTAGGGCACCATACCATGGTGTCTTGGGTGTTACATTGTGGAAAAAGGGGAGGTGAAAGGCCCTGGAGATCAGCTGGTCTGACTTTCCAATCCGATGCCCTACTCTTGGTGCCACAGGCTGTGTTTGAATGCCGGTCGAGTATGAAAAGAGAAAGACATGCGGGCCAGGTGGAAGGTGTAAAAGGACAGAGGGTTCGGGTTTTTATATCTTTAATGCATGGGAACATCACCCAAAGTAGCAAAGGCAAAGTAACAACAATTATTTTTCTCATGGGAACGCTAACCAAGGGAGTCACCCTGAACTGTTTTCTCACTTCCCTGTAATCTTCAAGGTCCTTCTGTTCTCAAGAGAGACGGAACAGGGGGGTTGGAGAGCCTACATTCCTGACTTAGGCAGCCATTGGATAAAGGAAAGCAACAGGGAAATCTTGGACTGGCCTGAATCCTCTGACTTGTCAGAGCTGGCCCTCAACATCTTGGTTCTCTTCTTTCTTTACTGTGATCATACTTCTCCTCAAACTCAGACAACTCCTGGGCTGCCATGAGAAGTCAGGTTCAGGGGTCACTTCTGTGGTCCAGTGACTCTGGTAATTAGAGTCTGAATGCTTCTGATCTTGCCATTGGCCTTGGGCCTTGCAATCAGACAGTATCCTGCAGCGCACATATCTTAAGCCTCATGGCCCCTGAGAATACCAGCATGAATTCATATGCAGAAGGAGTATGTGGAGAATGACTGGACATGTGTGTACTAGGAGAATGGTAGCAGGGTGGGATGAAGGGGAGAGCTCTACCCCAATCCTCTCAACCTTTTTTGACTTCTGAATAGCTTAGATTGAAAAGAAGCCATCAGAAATCAGTCAGTACTCCTCCCACCAATTGGGCTTCCTAGGGACTGTGACCCCTCCCTGTTGTGGATTCACATAATAAAGAGTCATTGTCTCCCCTCCTGACCTCTCTCAGCCTGTTCCATCTCCTGTAAGGCAATGATCCTCCTGCAGGGCCTTAAGCAGAAGTGGACTAGAGACCAAGTTGCTAAGACTCTCTGACGTTCCTTTCTCTCCAAAGGTCAACCAGGATGGTTTGCCAGATGCTTTGAAGCCTAAGGCTGAGAATCCAGAAGAGAGAAATGCTCCTGTAGGCTTCCCAGCTGGGCCGAAATTGCCATTGTTTGGGACCCCATCTCCTGGGGAACAAAGGAGCCACTGTAACCCTGGAGCCAAGAAGTCTCCCTCAGCTCCCAACACAGACCCAATTGAGAATGAGGACTTCTGTGCTGTGTGTCTGAATGGGGGGGAGCTGCTTTGTTGTGACCACTGCCCCAAGGTGTACCACCTCTCCTGCCACGTTCCGGCTCTGCTCAGTTTCCCCGGGTAAGGGAGTGCAGTGCCCACCACCATGCCCGTGATGTGTTCTTGCCAGAAAAACCTTTCGAGGCACTGAGGTCTGTGTCCTGCCAGAGAGGACAGAAGGGCTGGGAACCATGGATCTGTTTAGGCTCTTTCTGTCCTGAGAGGCTTGTCCCCTAAATCTAACCCTCGTCCAAACTTCTCTATTACTGTTGAAGGCCCCACCATCCTTTCCTGAGAGTTACCCAGGTTCACAACCATGGTATCATCGTTCTTGACTCCTCATTCTCACCTCCCCCAAATGTCCATGAACTTGCCAGGTCTTGTTGTTTCTATTTCCATAACATTTCTTGCCTATGCCCCTTTGCAATTACTTGCAGAGCCACCACCCACTTCTGGTCCTCATCCCCTCTAGTCTGGACTGCGGCAGTAGCTTCCACACTGTTTTCTGTCTCTCCCCTCTCCAACCCATCCTACATACAGCTGCCAAAATGATTTTTCCTAAAGCACAGGTCTGACCATGTGGCTCCACCCCCCAGTAACCTTTAGGGGCTCCCTGTTATCTCAAATGCAAAGTCTTTTGTTTGGCATTTAAAGCCCTTTGCAGTCTGTCCCCATTCTGCTGTTCCAGGCTTCTTACATCCTCCTGTCTTCTGTGTACTCTCTAGTCCTGCCCTCCTGGCAGACTCGGGTCTCTTCAGACGTGATGGGCTCTCTCATGCTTCCATGCTCCTCAAGGAGCAGAGTTTTTGTCTTCATTTGTTTCCATAATCCCTAACACAGGGTTTGACACACAGTAGGTATTTAATAAATACTTGCTTGATTAATTGATTTGTAACTGGAAGTAACCCTGAAGTATAAAGGAGTCGACTTCAATCAATATTTAGTAAGGGCTTAGTAAGGGCTGACTACAGGTGATACAAAGACAAAAATGAAACAGCCCCCATCCTCAAAGAACTGATATTCTATGGGGTGGAGGGAGTGGGAGGAAATACGATGTATACATAGAGAAGCAGATGCAAAATATGTGCAGTTATGCAAATCATTTTTGAGAGGGAGTGTTAGTAACTGAGGACCTCAGGAAAGGCCTCATTCAGGAGATGGTACCAGAGTTGTACTTTGAAGGAAGGTAGAGCTGAGGGTGGAGCACATTCCAGCTGCACAAGGCCTGGAGGTAGGGGATGGAAAATCCTGTAAAGGAACAACTTGCCAGACAGTTTGTGATGGAGAGCATTCCAGGCTTTCCCTTTATGCCCTCTTCTGAGAGGTTCTGGTGAAGATGTCCTGATGCCCTAGTCATCAGTGTGCTCTATCCTCAAGTGATTGGGTACAGCCTGCCCTGTTTACATATTCTGCCTCCTCTGTCTCCAATTGAATGGAATCTCATAGAAGGTGAAGACTGTTCTTCATTTTCTCTTTGTATCCCAGCACTTTCCTAGCTTGGTGCTTTGCACCCAGTCAATGCTTAACAAACGCTTGTAGACTTAGATTATTGAAATATTACACAGGAATAGGAGGATAGATGGGAGCCATATTGATTTCCTTTTAAATTAGCAAGCAGTCTTCCCCAGGACTGGCTGATGTTTAGAAAGTATTGTCTCTTACTACAGGAGCCCTTCCTTCCCCATGTCTAAATATTTTTGCAGATATGCATGAATGAGTTCTGTAGCAGTCTGTGATAGTGAGCAATAAAGTCAGCACTGATGCTGTTTCTTGTGCTGCAGGGGTGAGTGGGTGTGCACCCTCTGCAGGAGCCTAACCAAGCCAGAGGTGGAATACGACTGTGACAATACTCGATATGACCATGCCAGTCCCGGAGGACGTGGGCTTCCTGGCCTGAGCGAGTATGATCAGAAGGTGGGTGGAGAGGTTTCTGAGGGACCCCTAACAAAGAGACGGGGCTTCCATGGCCAGGGAAGGCACACACCCCACTTCAGGAGAAGTTCCCTTATAAAGTCTAAGTAAACTTGGCTACCCTCTGTATTTACAAGAAGATTTCAGAAGGGAAGTGGTGCCTTCTTATCAATTTTTTGTTGAAGCTGTTGTTACTGGTTCTCATAGTCAACCGCTGGGGCTAGTTTCCTTTCTTTTTTTCATTTATTTTTATTCTGAACTTAACCAACACCAAAAAAAAAAAGGGCATTTCCATGTACACAGTAGGTCAGGAAAAGAGAATTACATATGATACTGCACACCCTCATTATAGATAGCTTAATTTTCTTTTTAAGTATATTAAATTCAGACTGTAATTTTCAAAGCTGACCTGGTTGTCTGTGCTTCGTTCTGAGCTTTCTTCTGTTTTTTTTCTCTGCATTTAAAAAAAATTATTTATCAATGACTGTCCTTTCTTTCTTTCCTTTTCTTTCTTTGTTTCTTTCCTTCTTTCTTTCTATTATACTTTTATCTTCTGACTGTGTACCCTCCCCCCATTGAAAAAGAAAAAAAAGCCTTTGTAACAAAAATACGTGTTCAAACAAAACACATTTTTATATTGGTTGTATCTGAAGGTATATGTTATTCTGTATCTTGATTCCACTCCCTCTTTATCAAGAGGTAGGTAGAATGATTCATCATTAGTCCTCTGGAATCAAGGTTGGTCCTTGCATTGCTTAAAATTCTCATTTTTCAAAATTGTTTTCTGCATAATGTTCTTATCATATAAATTGTTCTTCTAATTCTGCTCACTTCACTCTATATCAGTTCATACAAGTCTTCCCAGATATCTCTGAATCTGTCCATTATGTCATTTCTTTCTTTCTTTTTCTTTCTTTCTTTCTTTCTTTCTTTCTTTCTTTCTTTCTTTCTTTCTTTCTTTCTTTCTTTCTTTCTTTCTTTCTTTCTTTCTTTCTTTCTTCCTTTCTTTTTTATGAGGCAATTGGGTCACACAGTGACTTGCCCAGGGTCACACAGTTAGTAAGTGTTTGAGACCAAATTTGAATTCAGGTCTTCCTGACTCCAGGGCCGGTGTTCTCTCCATTGTGCTACTAGCTGCCCCATTTTGTCATTTCTTATGGAGTAATAGTATTTCATTATTCATTACTATACAACAATTGTTTAGCTATTCCAATGATAGATGGGCACCCTCTTAGTTTCCAGGTCTTTACTACTACAAAAAGAGCTTCTGTAAATAGTTTTTTATATATACATCCTTTTTCTCTTTCTTTGACCTCTTTGGGGTATAGGCCTAGTTAGTGGCATAGCTGGGTTAAAGGATATGCACAGATCAGTGACTTTAGGGGCACTGTGCCATTCTGGCTGGACCAATTCACAGCCTTGCCAGTAGTGTGTTAGTGTGTCTCTTGGACTGGTCTCCTTTATTAGGTAAGGAAAATAAGCCACAAGGGAGAAAAAAGACTTAACCAAACACAGGGGGTCTCTATGCGCCATGAGCAGTACTTGATTCACATCTGGTTACCCTCCCAGACGCTAATAAAAAATAGTATCCTTGTCAACTTTGCTTTTTATAGAAATGTGAAAAGCTGGTGCTGTCCCTGTGCTGCAGCAGCCTCAGTCTCCCATTCCATGAGCCCGTCAGCCCACTGGTAAGTCCCAGGCCTTCACATCCACTGTGGGATCCCCAGAGCACCTGCTTTTCCCGGAGGATCACTGTGGTTTTATGTAATGTGGCCTCTCCCCAGGAGGCCTCCCAGCCCTGGTCAATGAGGATGGCTGTAAAAGGATACTCTTGGTTCCATTTTTCCTGGGAGGAGTCACCCTGGGCCCAGTGAGGTGTGATGTTGACACATGGTCCTAGTTTTTGCAGGCAGCAGAGGAGAGCTAACATAGTCCATTTGGCCATCCTCTCATCCCTCTGGTCCACTTTCTGGCTCTCCCTCCTTCTTTTCACCTCATTCTTTTACTCCTTCCTCCTTTTCTTCTTTTTCCTCCTCCTTGTCCTTTGCTAATTCTTTTCTCTTCCTCCTCTTCTCTCACTCTAGGCTCGGCATTATTACCAGATCATCAAGAGGCCCATGGATTTGTCAATTATCCGGAGAAAGCTCCAGAAGAAAGACATCTCCCACTACTTGAGTCCAGAGGAGGTGGTGGCTGATGTTCGCCTCATGTTCTGGAACTGTGCAAAGTTCAATTACGTGAGTCCTGCCCTCCCTTCCTCACCTCCAGGCACCCAAAGGTCCACAGTGTCTGTTATTTCTTTGCTCTTGGCCTCGTGTTTAGGCTTTGGCGAGCACAGACATAGGAACAAGATAGGGGGGATCCTGGCTTTGGAGCTGTCAGGGAACTTGCAGCGCATCTGATTGATTCCATCTCGTTGTACAGATGAGGAGATTGAGAGCCAGTGAGGCAATACGGCTTGTCTGGTCACACACATAGTAAGGTCTTCTGATGCCAAATCCAGGAATCTTTCCTAAGGGTGGGGAGTAGAGTGGACAAGGGAGACCACACCAGTGGGCTGCAAGCCCATTCCCTAACTAGTCCAGTTAAAAGATAGTTTTTTAAATGGCAGCTTCAGAGAAATGGTCCAGATGGGCTGATGGGCCAAATAGTGACCAAATAGTGGCTCTGCTCTGTGGGCCACACGTGTCACACTGGGAGCCTACACTCTCTGTGTGCCTAAGGAATGGACTCCCATGCCTATACATTCTAGTTACAAAGCCGTGGACTGACTTTGGTGCTTGCCTCCCTGTGCAGCCTGACTCAGAGGTAGCCGAGGCTGGCCGATGCCTGGAGGTCTTCTTCGAGGGCTGGCTGAAGGAGATCTATCCTGAGAAACTGTTTGCTCGGCCAAGGCAGGAGGACTCCGACACAGAGGAGGCAGAGCACGAGAGCGGTGGCTCTGTGACTCCACAGGGCTTCCCCTGGCCTGCCTACGGGCAGGAATACACCCAGCCCAAGAGGAGACGTCGCCATACTGTAAGTATGAGGTGTGAGGGGAGCTGTGCTTGTGTTTGGCAGGCCGGGGACAACTGGAGCTAGGAGGTTTCTGAAATGTTACATTGGTACTTACATAAACATGGCTTCCTTATCAGTGCTGGGTAAGACAGTGCCATTTGCCAGTCAGGCCTGGGGAAGTAATTGCAACTAATAACCATGACACAGGCTTTGGGTTTGTGGAAGAAAAGAGAAAGACTGCCTTCTGCTGCCCCACCCCCGAGGAGGCTTGGGAATGGGGAGATAGTCCTACCAAGGCTTTCCTTAGACTCCCCAGGTCTCTAGGAGTCTCCCCAGCCAGTTGTCCTTGGGTGGGATAAGGTCAGAGCCTTAGGGAAAGCCTAGTCAGACTTCCTTAAAAGGAACTCAAGGCTCTGTGTTAAATTACTCTGATGTTTTCTTTCCAGGAGAGTGAGAGAGCAAAAAGACTCTCATTCCGTCTGGCCAGCGGCTTCCCGCAGGTGTGAGAACACTGTTCTTCCACAACAGGAGGTGGCCCAGAATTCTGACAGCACCGGTCCCTTACCCATTCCTCGCTATCCTTCAGGCCACATCCTCTGGAGAATTCGGATTACAGGAGTGTCTCTGAGCAGCTTTCCCGTGGGCATCTGCAGCATTTCCATGGAGGTTATAGTCATGAAACTCTGGGAAAGAAATCCAGCAGATGACAGCTTCCTGCTAAAGCAAAACTCTTGTCAGGCTGGACCAGTCCTCAGGCTCCATGGCGAATGCTGCCTTTTGGAGTACACTGGGCCCTCCAGCTCCTTTTCCTCTGTTTACCTATAGGTAGGAGTAGGGAGAGAAGGACTTAGTACTTCAGCTGACCTGTTATCCCTGACACAGAGTGGACAAAGTAGCCACTGGGAACTGCTCCTTTTGTTGAGGAGATTAAGGTGGAATCCTTACAGGGCATGCTAGCCACCTTTGTTCTAAATCTCTGCCTGTCAGTAAGATAGGCTTCTTGCCCTTCACCTTCTAAGCATCTTGAGGTATCCATTCCTTGTAATCAGGCATGAAGGAGGAAGGGGCTGCCTGTTTCTTCATCTTCGTTTCCTGACATCACTCAGGTGTACCTCATTTGAACACACTGTTTTACTGGTGTCTAGGCTCTTGGCTTTGCTTGGGCCATCTAACACAAATATTTAAGCTTTCCCTTTGGAGGGATTAAGGCAACCTGAGTGTTCTAGCCTGTTTTGTGCCCCTTATTACTGGCAAGTACCTCTCTCTAGTAAGCTTCTTTTCTTGGCCCCAAAGGTGTCTCCCATAAGGTGGTGTCAGCTGACTGGAGAGCAATCTTTTGATCCACATTGGAGTCCTTGACTTTGTTTCCTGGGGTTGGTTTTGTGATCTGTGTCTTCTGAGCCCACGTAGTGCTTGGGATGCTAGGGCCGCTCTGCTTGTCAGTGGGAGATGGAGGCATTATAGGGAAGGAGCATTAATGGTCCCTCAGACAACCTCTTGGGTCCAGTGCAGGGGCCACAGTGATGCCTTTTGTAATGTTACCGCCATGAAGAATACACTGTGGAAGGAGCCCTCAGTGGATGTCCTGCCTGTGGTGAACACTCCCCCTTTTGAAACTGTCCAGGAAAGGGCAAGCCCTCCTTTTGTTTACCTTCCTTCTGCTTTCTATTTGTGTCATAAAATCATAGAATCCCTGGACTGGGAGGGCTCCCAGAAGCCATCTAACTCAACTTACTCTCAGACAGGAATATCTACTATAGCATGCCCAACAGGTGGTCATCCAGCCTCTTTTTGAAGACCACCCGTCATGAGGAACTCACTGCCTCCAAATGTAGCCCATTCTACCATTGGAGAACTCTAATTGTTTAGAAGGTTTTCTTTCTGCTATGCTGAAAACTGGCTCTCTGTGACTTCTACCTATAGGATCAAAGCATTTAGAGTGGGAAGGTACTTTACAATCCCTTTATATTACAGATCAAGAAACTGAGGCCTAGAGAGGGGAATTCAGTCACTTGCCCAAAGTCAGATGGTCAGTAAATAACATAACCAGAATTTGAATCCAGGTCCTCTGTCTCTAAATCTGGGGCTCTTCTCACACCTCCCTACTGCTGTGACTGTTCGTTTTTAGCAGGGCCCACTGGGTCAATCAAGATAAGTCTGATGTCTCTTTTATATATCAGCCCCTTAAATTCTTAAAGAAAGCTATTGTGTTAGCCCTTAATTTTCTCTTCTTCAATCTAAACACTCCCAGTTTTTTAAGCTAATCTTTATATGATTTTCTGGTTGACTCTGTCTAGATATGTTTCAGTCTTTCCTAAAATGTGATATCTAGAACTGAACACAGTGCTCCAGGGCAAAGGACAGCAGGATCATCATCTCCCTTACTTTAGGGAATTCAGCCCAAGACTGCATTTCCTTTTTTTTTTTTTGGTGGGGGGGGGAGCTGCCATGTCACACTGTTGACTTACATTGAGCTTACAATCCATTAAAATCTCCAGGTCTTTTTTTTTCTTAAACTGAAACTATCATGTAATATACTCTACTCAACTCCTGCACTTATACAATGTATTTTTTTTAATGCAAGTTTGTGACTTTTGCAGGTATCCCTTTTAGATTTCATCTAATTAGATTGTGCTTATTTCACAAGCCAGTAGAGACCTTTTGGGATCCTGGTTCTTTCATCCAATAGGTTAGCAGCTGCTCCCAATTTCATATCATCTGCAAATCTGTGATAAATGTGTTAAGCATGACTACATGGTTATTTTTCATGGTTCCATGAGAAAAATGCTGAAGAGAACAGAGCCGAGGACAGAGCCCTATGATGTTGCATTAGCAGCATCCCTCCAGGTTGGCAACAACTCACTGTTGATGGATTCTACTACTGTTCTATTACAGAGTCACTGTTCTTTGAGCCTGGTCATTCAACCAATTCTGAATTTACCTTTGTGAAACTGTCTTATTAGTGTCACCAAGCTGCCCTTGTCTTGCCCACATAATTATTCCGAGAAACACTGTCAAATGTCTTGCTGAAGTTCAGGTATGTTGTATCGATGGAATTCTCCTCATATACTAGTTGAGTCATCCTGTCAGAAAAGGAAATGAAGTTAGTTTTTCATAACTAGTTCTTGGTGAACCTAGGCTGCTTCATTGGGATCAGTTTCCCTTTCTAATCAGTCAATCAGAAGGATTTATTAAGTGTGTTAGGCCCAGTGCTAATTGTTGGGGAGACAGACAAATGAAAAAAGTTTGTGCCCTTAAAAAATTACATTCAAATGGGGGAGATGACATGCACGTGTATAAATACATACACATGGGTACACATCTATGTGTTATACACTTATACATAGACACAGATAGGGAAGGAAAAGGCATTCATATAGCACCTGCTAAATGCCAAGCACTGTACTAAGCGCTTTACAAATGTTATCATTTAATCCTCATGACAACGCTGGGATGTAGGAAACATTATCATCACCATTTTGCAGTGGAGGAAAGGCAAACAGAAGCTGAGTGACTTGCCAGGGTCACACAACTAGTAAGTACCTATACATGTACATAGAGAGAGCAGTTACCAGGTAACTTTGGGAGGGAATGAACTAGCAGTGACGGTGCTGCTTGAGCTGAATCTTGAAGGAAACCAGGGATTTCTGGGTGCTCAAAAGCTCTCTCTTAAAGTATTCTAGAATGAAAGTTAAACTCATTGACCTCTAGCTTGTTTTTTGTTTGGTTTTTTTTGAGACTGGGTCTCCCTGTCTCTTCCAGGCTGGAAGTGCAGGGCCATTCATGGCCCAATATTAACACTGATTGGCACAGAAGCTTTAACCTCCTCTGTTTTTGTGACTTGGGCTGGTTCAGCCCTCCTGAGGTAGCCTAGTGTCCATCTGCTCCTGGGGCTTAGCATACTAGTTCCAAACTTAGTGTGGACACCCGATTGGTTTGAGCCCTAGTGCAGCTCAGAAGGTCAGAGCCCAAGTGATCCATCATCCTCTGCAGCAGGGACTCTAGGCACCCCCACTGTGCCTGGCCTGACCTATTATTTGAAGAATAAAACTTCTTTTGAAAATCTGGATATCTGTGTTTTTTCAGTCCTGCTGCACCTTTCCCATTTTTCAAAGATCACCAACATACCTCTATAAGAAATCATATTCACAATATGGAATATAATTCATCCAGGCTTGATGACTTAAACTCATTGATGGCAGCTAGGTACTCTCTTACTAGTTCCTCAGTAACCTCGGGTTTGAATATGCTGTTAACTATTTTTGTTCTATATTCCTTAGTCTGAGGACCATTCTCTTTATTAGAGAAAACAGAAACAAAATAGGATTTGGATACTTTTACCTTCTGAGGACTTCACATCAAGCCTAGCTGATGGATGTTTCCCCTCTAACCCAGGAAGACTGTCACTTCATGCAGTGTTTGAAGATTGGCTGTTTGAAAATCATTTTGCCCCTGGTGATCCTGGAGGAGAAACAGACCCATGAGAACTTAGGTCATTGTATTGCCTTTGGACCAAGAGATACAACTGGCCTTTTAACTAACTGGGAAATAGCTGGATTGTGGGGTGAGCATGCATTCATTTTCAAAATGGATCAAGAACAAAGAATTCAATTCCTTTGTCAGTTCTGATCCTAGGAAATGTCCCCTCCCTCTCACTGTGAATTGATGTTACTAATATTTTATTCTTCCTCCATCCCTTCTGCCTTGAGATGGAAGGATACTTTTGCTCTAAGTTGAATAGAATCTAGTTTTGGAACTAAAAGAATATATTTAAGGAAAGTCAGGGTTCAAATATCTTTTTCATCTGGATAACTCATTATTCTCTCCACAGCATATGCCAAACACTGCCATGTTGAGGTGCCTCAGTATCATGATGAAGTTCCTTCTCATTTTTTCCAAACCTTGTGTTAGCAAGGACACACTGGTGCTTAGCCCCTGTGCCCAGGGTACTTTGCTCTCTGGTGCAGGGGCCCACTGGAGAATGCATTTCTTTCCCTGAAGGGCACTTTTTGATCAAGAAGCCAAGCACAACCCAGGTCCTGGTTTCTCTCTGCCTATTCCTGCCCTTGGTCTTTCTTTCTGTGTTGTTGCTGAGGAATAAGGACGATCACTGCCCTGGAATGAATTCAAGATACACTGGGCCTTGCTCCAAACATGCCCAGCCCCATCCAAAGGGATCCAAGCCCATCCTGGCACCTAGTAGCATCTGCTGCCAAGACCTTTTCCTGGGACTGACCCAGAGTTTTTTGAGCAAACTTTGAGCAGGAGATGCTAGGCCCAAAGATGTCTTCCTCCTTTCCAAGCACCAAGCCTCATATAGACAGCTCCACTTATAGCCCTGGTAGTTCTGGGGCTGGGGAGTGGATGGAGATGAGCCTTCCTGGTCAATCTGTTGAGTGTCCTAGAAAAACATCAGGTGTACCAAAGTTTAATTCCCCATCAGTGACCCTGGTCTTGATAAGAAGACATTTTTGTAACTATTCTTGACCTCACTTGGGCACCAGATGGGTGGTTAGTAAAGACAAGAAGGACCCTCACCAAACGGCAGCCCCAGGATGTGACTGTACGGGTGGGGATGAGGGCAGTATTTGTTGAGACCTAAAACCAGTACTCAGATATGTCATGAATGGCATTGCATAGCAAACCAGCTCCCCAGTGGCTGAGAATAGTTCTTCTCACACTTAATTATCTGATAGAGCCACCTCTTTGTTTATTAGCAGTTCATCAAGTTTGTGTCTTGTATTTCTCTTACTGCTGTGGTTTGGGGGGGAAGGGGCTCTTGATTTTTTAAAAAAATGTAAAACAGAGGATTTACTGGCAACATTAAAAGAACCATCCCCCTCCCCCCCGAAGCTTTCTTCATTGTGATGGTTTTGCAAGTATAGAGAAAGGGCCTGTCCCAGCATCACTCCAAACATCACTTCCTGGGCCCTTCGCATTGTGGACAGAGTCCTGACCAAAACTGTGGAGGGAGTACCGCTTATAGGAAGCATGATCTGGTCATGTGGGAGTTAAGACAGGCCTGCCAGAGCCCAAGTTCTCCAGGGCCATTCCTGTCCTTAGCCAGGGATAACTTCTAGGCCTCTAGACACTGGTGCTTATTCACCTTGAGTTACTCACCTCACCATCCTGGTAAATATTTATTGATCTTTGAGCAAGTGTTCTTCATTCAACCGTCCTAAGAACTGGGGGAAGGAAGAAGTACAGAGAGGCCCGAGCCAAGGCAGGCCAGGCCTTGTCAGTTTATCTTAAGTCATCCAACAGGGCAGGCATTTCAGAATAGAAATGTTATATTCTGTCTTGTCTCCTTGAATTAATTTAGCTATAGTACTGTCCAGAGGCAAGATAGATGACTACATGACCTTGAGAGGTTCCCCTCTTTCAAAGGATTCTGTGATTCTCTGCCTGGAGCTATTAGCCTGGAAGGAAGACTAAGCCCCTGGTGGACTAGGGAGTAGGGGAAGAGGAAGTGGGGCCATGCAATGACTAGCAGATGAGGGTCTGTCAATCACACCAGTGTCAGAAAGGACAGGATTCATGGCTCTTTTCTGTGATATTTGGAGCTGGCCAGAGAGCTGCAACACCTGGACAGAACTCTCTCTCTCTCTCTCTCTCTCTCTCTTCTCTCTCTCTCTCTCTCTCTCTCTCTCTCTCTCATCAGTTCTTAAGGAACTCTCATAGTAGGTTCACTCAGCACCATCACAATACAATCAGCACCAAGAATCCAGCACCATCACAATACAATTAAACACAGCTGCCATTAGATTCCACTTTCAAAGGATCATAGATTTAGAGTTAGAAGGGACACTAATGACCATCTAGTCCAGTGCCTTTCATTTGTTCAATGAGAAACTGTCCGAAAGAGAGTAAATTAAAGAAATGGTAACAGAGCTGGGCTCTGAACCCACATTCTTGAATGATAAATCCAGCTCTCTTTCTGCCCTCCTGACTCTCCCCCCCACCAATACCGTGGCCTCCTGACTTTGCTGCTTAGCTCAGGGGAGCTTTCTGAGCTCTGCACTGGGATCTCTCCCTCCTCTGCCTGTGTGTTCAGAATTTCCTCATGCATACTCCATATGAGGTCTGGATTGCACCACAAGAGTTAGAAATTCAAATGAATAAATTTACTAGAGGCTTACTATGTTCATGGCCCTGTGCTTGGCACTGGGGATGTAAGCATGAGATACGATGTGTGTCAGGGTGCTTACAATCTAATAGGGAAGCTAAAAACATACATATGTAACTATGATCAATTTCTTGTGGTCTGTCAGCCAACTGGTACTTACTAAATAGCAACCAGGCAAGCAGTAGGAGGCCAGTGTTACTGGATCATAGAGTACATGGAGGGAAGGAAGGCATAAGACGATTGGAACAGTAGGAAGGGACCAGGTTATGAAGAGCCTTTAAAGGCAAGGAGAGGATTTTATTACCTGGAGGAGATAGGGAGTCAGTGGAGTTGATAGAATAGGAAGGGCAAAAAGTCTAGCTTTAAGGCTCCAGGCTCTCACCACTATGGCCTCTCCTGCCGCTGAAGCAGATCACAACAGGACTTTGTAGATGATCAGCACCCCTAAATCACAACATACAGGGCTTTAAGCTTTCTCTCAACTCCTGTAAAGTCATCTTCTGCACCTCTCATATGGTATTTACCAATTCTGCCTTATTGTGGCTTTTGTCTCAGCTTTCCTTACTACGACATAGGCTCCCTAAAAGCAGGGACAATGTGTCTTCGCATTCCTTGCAACTTTTGATTCAGTGACAATGAATCAAACACACATGTCTAGTACTTTACAATTTATGGAAATGAGATCCTATCCATCATCTTTTTTCATCTTCATAATCCACTGGTGGGGCTGAAGTGAGGGGAAGTAAAGGGACATAGGGCAAGGACTCATTCCTTTTGACTGAAGCCCAAAGAGAGAAAGGGACTTATTTAGGGTCCCACAATGTGTTAGTATCAGAGTCAGGAGCTGAACTCAGTTCTGACTCCTAGTCAAGTACCTACTCCCATTGGGGAATGTTGTAGGCTGATGTGGAAGATGAACTGGGTGTTTTGATGGAAACCATGGTTAGATGAAACCTCAGAGATTTCTTGGTTCTATTTCGAGGTTTATGTGGCCAGAGCTCATAGAATTTTGAGGCATGAGCCCACACCAGATTTCATTGACAGGCCCAGTATATCCTATCACTTCACACCGAAGTCCTGTAAGAAGATAATTACCTCAGAAGGACATTGTCAGACCCTAAAATTTAAAAGGTCAGAGCTTTGCTTTGTCTCTGTTGTTGAAGAAGCATGATTCAGCTGGGAAACCAGTTTTTATACAACCACATGAGGGATAGAGAGGGAAAAGCTAGGTTATCTTTTCCATTACTGGGGTAACACAATGCAACTCTATCTTCCCATATGTCCTCCTAGAAGCATATGTGTTGTCTTCTTAGACTTTCTGGCACACAGGGGTCAACTTGGCACCTAGTAGCTACGCAAGGGATACCAAAGCCTCAATCCTCCTTAATTGGAGGAAGAAAATCCCTCTTAGATAATATCAGTGGAATATGAACTAGAGTTCCCAACTGATCTAAGAAGAAACATTGTCCTTAGGCTTGAGTTGATGGTCCCTGAGTTATATGTATGTCCCTTCTTGAGTTTCATCCACTTAGTGTGACTGGGGTCAGAGAGTCTTTCCTGGTTTGGGAAGCTTTCTCCACACAAAATGAGAAAAGCCTTCTCAGCAGAACCTGGTTCTTAAGATTTAGCAGGATAAAGGGTCTTTAGGAGATAATACATATGGTCTATGGAGATGGTGCTATATGCCTATATGCCTGTGTATGTATGTGGTATATGTATAAGTATGGCTCTTTGAAACTCAGTTTCCTCATCTCTAAAATGGGCTTAACAATCATTATACTGCCTTCCTCATAAAGTTATCAGGAGGGTTATTTTGTGAACTATAAAGGAATTTTTTATATATGTATATATATATATACATATATATACATATATATACATATGTATACATATATATATATATATATATATATATATATATATATATTTGAGATTATAATTTCTAACTTTCTAGGGGAAAAAAGAAAAAAACCTACCACAACCTTCCACAATACAGATATACTGATATTTTTGATCATTAGGAAACTGGAAAAAATCAGTGATGAGTTGCTTTTAAGAAATAGCATAAAGGACATTATTAAGGGCGTAGCTACAAAAGATCATGTGTGACATTGGAATGTTTGCTGGATTTGGTATCAGGGGTTTTGGGTTCAAATCTCTTCTGCTATTTACTACCTATGTGACCTTAGACAAATCACTAACCTCTCTAGACCTTAGTTTCTTCATCTATAAAGTACAAAGGTTGGACTGGATGATCTCAGAAGTTCTTCCTCTTTATCTATGCTCTATTGATTCCATATTGAAAACAAAACAAACCAAAAAACCCAAAAGAGGAAGGTCTTAAACTTACTGGGCAGGTCTTTCATAGAGGATCTATGTGGACAACGTGGATGATAATCCCACAATGTCCTGTATGCCTAATGCCTGCCATCAGGCCTTATTCTCTAGGGATAGGAACTGGGAATGAGCAGAACCTGCACAATTCAGATAGATAGCTGTAGAATGGAGATGAAGCTGGCCACAGCCCCATTAGTACATATTTCTCCAGCTTTGATGCATAAAGTGTATGGGGTCTGGAACAACAAAAGCCCTGATCCTACACTGACAGATTCATCCACCAATATCTCCACTCACCACAACGATGGCATAAGGGGAGAAACCCTAGGGCAAGACGTCACTGATGCTATAGCCATGCCTAGTCTCAACCAGCC